AAATGTCGAATCATTATACTGTACATCTGAAACTAATATAACCAATATAAGATTGTATACTAACTCTACTTAAATAAATTTAAATAAAAAAGAATCACTTGATCAGCACGAGGGAGGTCATCTGCCAGAGAGACCCCTGCCATCCCCGAAAGAAAGTTACCTTGCAGTTACCAACCTGCTGTTTCGCCCAGTCTAACTTCCTTGTTCCCGCTCCCTTCTGCCTAGAAAAGTCTTTCATCCTGTTCAGCTCCTCAGTGCTCCCTTCTATGTGATAGATTGGATGCTGCCCTATTAGAATCCAGTTTTTCCTCAAACTCTTCAAAATTTTCAATATGGCTCAGCTTATCTTTTAACATTCGGAGTGACGAAACAATGGAATGCCAATGCATCCCGAGCTGGGTCAACAGAGGACTTACAAACAAAGGAAGGCAGGAAAAGCCACTAGGGAGAGAGATAAGCGTAAACGTAAATAACTTTATTTTTGCAAGACTTTAATGGGGCATTTGTCCTGGCAGAGGAGAAAGCTAATATTTATCTTGTAAGTTACTTAGCTTAATTCTTAATGAAGAAAGTTTCTTCATGAAATGCCTACAATAAGAAAATTTGTTTCTTTAACTATTTCACCGTAAAATGAGATAAACTGATGTGAAAGTACTTTATGAACTTGAAGTGCTTTGCCAATCTATTGCTATTACTGTCCAAAGATTATCACATTCTACCCCTAGTAACTGCTGTACGACTTGTCACAGGGGTCTTATATTGACACAAAAAGTAAATTTCCAAAGGTTTTGAAGATACCCCCACTCTCTTCACATGCGAGGTGTGAGCTGTCCCTCGGCTGCCAGATGCAGACAGCTGTCTCGTGTGATGGCCCCATGTCGGCCTCAGAGCACTGCACTCCCAAAAGTACGATACAGCTTCCATCCACATGGATACAGCCATTTTCTTACTTTAGATCGGGACAACGTGTTGGGACACATCAAGCTCCCTTGTGCTTTTAAAAGACTCCAGAGAGAGATTCAAACCCTGAGCCAAACAAAGCCCGCCTTTGAAGCTACTGTGTGAATTCAGCTGCTCTAAGGTCTTAGAAATCTTAAAGCTGCCCAGGCAAGGTGTTGGTAAGATGAAGGTGGGCGGCACCGACAGAGTAATGAGATGGGATAGCTGGCACAATCGAGTCCAGCCTTCTCTTTGGGACATCATGGGCCCAGGTTTGGGGCATCGCTATTTTCCCGGGAAATCTATCAGGTCACTAGGGGCCAGAAAGTCTTGTGGTTTTGTTCTAACCTCCTCTAATTTAAGAGTATAATCCTGGGAAAGTCACTCAATCGCTACAAACATCAAATTTCTTATCAGTAAAATGTGACTCAATGAGAGAATGAATTTGAAAACACTTGCAAAATTACAAGTGTCAAGGGAATGAGTCTTCTATCCCAAAAGGTTATGAACATCATTCAAATTTCCCACAAAGAAGAAGCGCACACATGAGCGAGACTTAACTGTGATGCATGGACAGATTTACCTAGGAGGCATCATGTTATAGAGGAAGGGCTGATAAACACACATGCTGGGCACTGACCTAGGCCTGGGGAAATTCAGATTTTCACGGGAAACAGAGAGCTCTGAGCTGCATTCTCTCTGGCGGTGTGGAGGTTACCCAACAATATGTCCTAATGTCCAAGGGAGAGGACTGTGTTTTGAAAAGTCAAAGGCCTTTAGAGACACTAATAAGGGATGCACTGATACAGCCATCACGATCCAGACCAAACTAAAGTTTTACAAAGCTGTGAGATTGGGTCGGGGGGGAAGCAAGTTTTGCAGGAGGCAGAGTCCGTGAAAGTCAGCTTTGATGGATGAACGCTACGTGCAGCTCACTGGCCAGCCCTCGGCTACGCAGCTCCAGGGGCTGGGCTGCCCTTTTCACAGAACAGGGCTTGTTGGATGTAAGAGGCTGAGTTGCAAGCAACACTAAAAAGTAACTAAAATTGTTCATCATTGAATAGAAAAATGTTATTTTCAAAGGGGATGCAGGGGATGTGACACATGTGGTAGTAAGCAGTTTGCTACTGACTTTTATCAGCACTGCAGCCAGAAAAGCCAGCTGATGTGTCAGACATGTTAAAAAGTGAAAGCCACTGTGTACGGTAGCTTTCTCCCCAAGCATTTCAAGAAAGAAGCGATAGGGCCCATTTCCATCAGGGTGCCCGCTATGCAACAGTATTTCTACAGGGTCCCCTCAATGCAGCCATACATTGACCTATTCTCTAATGGAAATAGCCGGAGAAATACAAATATCAAGACTCCGAGAACATCAAAGTCCTCACTGGAAAAGCCCCCACACGGAGCAATGCGTGGGCCCGAATCCTTCCACTCTGGAAGGGTAGAGGCCTGAGCTGATGATGCTGGGATGAGACACTGAACTCTTTACAGAAGTGAAACAAGATCGCTAAATATCCTTTCCCTTAGAACTAATGCTAATTTTGTGGTTTTGATTTGAAAGATACAGAGAGCCGTTTTGCATTTTTTAGTAATAAAAAGATCATGATCATTTGTCTCTAACCTGGTCCTACTCTTTTCTAAAAAAGAAAAGATCATCTGTCTCTATTCTGGCTTTTCCTTCATTTTCTTTCCACCTGAGAAACTATAATGCTAAATTCAAAATGTTATTAAGATGTTTACTGTGCCTCAGAATATTGCCTAACGCACGGTCATTTTCCTGTTTTCCAAGTACACTTATTCATTGTCCCTTGAACACTTAACCTCGCCTGCCTACCCACCCTCCTCCTGATCCTGAAGTCACGTTATCTACAGTTCAACCATGTTGTCAAAATCCAGCTTACAATCTGTTCCCTCTTCAATATTCCTTATCTCCCCGTCTCCGGGCAGCAATCAGCTGTTACCTCGGATCACACTTGTCTGTGTGCCTGTCTTCCTGCCACACATCCAGTTGTGTGAGGAAGAATACAACGGTGGGAGACCAGACTTTGGGGTCAGGTCATTCTGGCTTGAAATTCTTGTTCTGCCCTGTCTGGCAGTGAGGGCTGAGGGGCCTAGAACACACTGCCTAACTCCTCGGAGCTTCCGTTTTCTAATCTGCATGATGGGAAGCCTGACGCCCCAGGTTCCCTGTGAGGCTCCAGCTAGACGGGGCGCCTGGACATTGTCCTTTTGCCTCCCTTTCTACATGCCTGTGGGCATTACAGACACTACATAAATGTCTGTTTAAAGGCTGGAAAAGAAATGAATAAGGTAGTAACAATGGAGGAGTTACAAGCAATCTCTTTGAGAAAGGACTTCCTCAATTGTCCCCAGTTTAAATGAGCAGTAGACACCTAGTCCATCTTTCAGGCAGTTAGCACATTATTTGGAGGACAAGTTACCACACATCCTAAGTACTCTATCGAGTCTACTGACTAAAAGAGTTTATCTTATTTCATAACTGCTATTGTTACACTCATCATGTCCCAGGTGCTTTAGAGGATAAACGTAAATCTACTGAAGAGATGAAAAGATAAAGCTGCAAATATAGGGATTGGTTTACACATGACACACATAAAGTCTAATATAAAGCTAGCATCAATCCCCTTGAATGAAACCCTTCTCTGAGTATTTGTCTGCAGCACTTGATCACTTCTCCATGCCGGCGCTCCAGGAAGGGTAACAGACATCTCTCCTGTTACTAAGTTCTGGCTTCTGTATTGTAAGCATCATCTTGGAATACACAAGCCCAGGAACCCCTGCTCTGAGGACAGCTCTCACACAAGGCGCGTGCATGCGCACACCCCTGCCCCACCCCACTCCCCAACACACACACCCCGTGGCCCCCCATTTCCACCATTGCCTACCATGCCTTGCTCACCCTAGCCACACTAATGGGCCCATGTGGGGCCACCGCCTGCTGGCCAGAGGACACCTTTCTCCTAAAGCATTACCAATGGTATCCAGAAATTCTGGTTATTAAGCTTCCTACAGACAGACCTGGGGATTCCTATGGTTATGCTCGTTTTTTGCCTTATAGTTAAAGGCATGTAAGCAACCTGTTCAATAGAGAAATGAAATGTACGGGGGTGGGAGGAGGTCTAATAGCTCAAGTGGTCCCTGAGAAACCAAGAGGAAGCAAAGCATCCTTGGGTCTGGTGACATTTCAGCTCCCCCTTGATGCCCACCCAAAATAACAGGAGAAAAATAAATTTGTCACACACACACACACACACACACACACACACACACACACACACACACACACACACACACACACACACACCATCAGTGCCCTTGGATGCAAAACCTTTTCTGAGTATTTGTTAAATGCCACACCTTTTTTAACAAGCACAACAGACAGAACGAGATGTAAACAGATACAGAAACTTGTTAAAATTAAAACAGTGCCTCAAGTTCAACGAGCATTTTCTGTGTACTCCGGCTCATTATGTAAGGAGTGATCTATCATGTTGCATGCATTCGCTCAGTCATTGTGTAGAGAAAAAGGTAAATGCATCCTGAAACAGGAAACCAATATTCTTCCTGTTTAATCAACAAATCTAAAAATTTATTCTTTTCAACTATTTACATTGGCTCCCGTCCAGCACAGCAGGGTGCTGCACACGTTCAGCATAGTTTTATGACAAAGAGAAAATTTTCATGAGCCACTTGTGTATCCCCACCCCCTTAGAGAAAGAGGGAGGAAAAACTGTTTCATACAGAAGGCGTTGGGCGTATGAATTGGAACCACCACCTAAGTGTGGGCTAAAGTAACCCAGAGGGATTTCACCTACATCCATTCAGGCAGCTTCTGGGGGTTTCAAGAAATTCCAAAGAGTCATCAGAAGAGGAAAAATAAAGGTAATGCTTTTTGCCACACAGGTACAATCTTTGAAAATATGTGTAATATGTAAAACATTTTGACACCCCCATAATATTTTTCCAGAATTAAGGGTATAAATTGCTTCTCTTGCTCAAGAGCTTCCTATCAGCCTCTCTAATCACTACGCACAGTAACCTCGGCTTCTGCCACGATGTACAAGATGCATTTCTTGTCTTGCATTGCACTAACTCTTGCACTCGTCGCAGACGGGGCACCTATTTCAAGCTCTAGGAAGGAAACACAGCACCAGCTGGATGGTTTACTGACGGATTTACAGAAGCTTTTGAAGGGAGTTAATGTAAGTATGTCCCCCTTCTACTGAAATCGTTATATTTAAGTTTTCTAACTAAAGTTTGCTTTTTAATAACAATCTGTTATGTTTTCTCAGAATTACAAGGACCCCGAACGCTTCATGATGCTCACATTTAAATTTAACATGCCCAAGAAGGTAAGTACAACTTTCTACGTTCCATTTATGTTTCCATAAAATACAAATACGAAAAACTGCAAACTGATTGTATTAATGGCATCTCATCTGAGAAAAAGAATGAGTAACTTGAATGTTTTTTTTTTTAAACCCAAGTTTGAGAACAGGGCTTTTGTACAGTGGCTTTGCCTATATGTATTTTTATATGTGCTTGTCTGTGTTTGGGGGGAGAGGAAGTGGGCCTAACAGAATAATATTCTCACTTTATTGCTGGGACAGTTTCAAAACAAGATTATGTTGAGCTACTGTTTTACTTGAAAATGTATAACTCTAGATATATTTGATGATTTTTACCATGTAAGTTGTCACAATTTAGAGGAGCCCACTTTTTAAAAATCCTGTTTTCAGGAAAGATTCCTTTTGTGAGGATTAATGAGTAAATGTAAAGGACTCATAAGAATACCTGACATGTGACAAACACCATATAAGCATTAGTTATGAGTAGTAAAGAGAAAATGCTCCCTGGGGAGCATCAAGTAAAATTTGGGACTTACACATCTTTTATGCCAACAGACCTAGAGACATGCTATATGGCTTCTGTTTCAAGTTTAAAAGCTCAAGTTGTTTGTTTTGGGATTCAGACAGTTAGATAAGCATAGGTCATCCAAGCTCCTAGAGCTATATGCTAGGGTACAACACTTCCTAGTAGTTGTGCCAGTCAACAGAGAATGGGCAGAATTTTGGTGCTAGAAAGAACTTGTTTCAGTGTGAATCCAAGCCCAGAAAAATGTGGGATTTAAAGAGTCACAGGTGCAATTCCATTGATCTATGTCTTATTTATTCAAGGAAATTATGCTTCAAACTAGTCTTTGGAAAGATGAAAATAGAGATGCTCTGCCAGCTTAATCAGAGCCACAAATTCTTACCTCTAGCAACTTAAAGACACTAGACTGTTTTCTGAGGGAAAGAGTTCCAAGTTGCTTATGCCAAAAACTTACGCCTTGAACTTGTAGAGCTTGCTGAGAGGCCAGTAGATGAGACTGTCATGAGATGTGTATGGTGTAGTCCTACCTTTCCCTCTAAAGATTGTTAGAAAGATAATGTGAGATTATGTGCATAATTTAGAGGGTGGTAGATTCTTTGAAATCTCAGTTTCTAAATGACAACTCAAAATCTATTTGAAAACAAAAGTAATGTGATCAAGTCCACTCATTTGCTCATTTTACCACCACTCCATGTTTCTAAAAGATTTAAGAAAACTATAAAAGCACTTAATTAAAAGGATGCTGTGTTAGTGCAATAAAGAAAAATAACTGAAATTTAACCCTGGCTCCACCTAGGTATGTGGCCTTTGGGAAAACACTTAAATTCTGAAATTTACTTTCCTTATTTGTAAAATGGAGGTCGCAAAAGGTGGCTGTGAGACTTAAATGGGCTTATTTAGGAGAAAATACTTTGAAATTATAATGTACCATAGAAGTTTGAAATATTATAGTGTGTGTGTGTGTGTGTGTGTGTGTGTGTGTGTGTCTAAATCAGGAGGTCCATCCAAAAATCCTTCAAATATTGTAACGTTTTATTTGGTTGGGACAAATAATTTTTTTAAATGCACCTTACTGTACTTATTATAGAGTGGTAAAAAATTAAAATGCAGCTATGTGACTTGCTATACTGAGAGTCATTACTATATAGTTACAATTCCTAATCTATAAGATGTTGGGACTGTGACAGATGGCATCCAAAAGCTCCTACTGTCTGCGACACTCTATGATTCTCAACTCTTAAATCATTAAACATTAGAATCATAGAATGTGACCCCATACTTCCACATTCTAATAATTTCTATGCAACCTGGGAAAGAATTCAGCTCATATCTGTAATTTGTAATTGGGTGCAGAAATACTGACTTTTTACAAAATCAAATTAAAATGAAATTAATGCCTTGTTAACTAACAGTTAATGCTAATCATGAGTAGATGAACTCTAGTTTTTCCAGTCTTATAATGTAGACCATATAGGTCCATCTTTGCAGTAATGCTGAGAACAGAGAGAATGGTAAAAACCAGATACTGCTACTCTTAATAAAAGAACTTTGAGATTACTGAGTCTGGTCTTTAGTCAGGGCAAGCTGACCTGATAATTATTTTGATTCTTTAAGGTCACAGAACTTCAACATCTGCAGTGCCTCGCAGAAGAACTCAGACCTCTGAAGGACGCGTTACTTTTAGTTCACAGCAAAAACTTTCCCTTCAGCGAGATCAAGGACTCAATGAACAATATCAATGTAACAGTTCAGGTACTAAAGGTAAGGCATGACTTCATTTGCTCTTCTGGGAATATCATCAATGGAGAGGCATTTTAACGTGGAAAATCATTTTTGGTATTTGTGAAGTACCCCAGTGTTTTAAGTCCACTGTGAACATGAATCATTTTTAGGTTAGATGCTACATTGTGGAGTTGGAAGTTTAAGGTCTAAGCTTGTAGTAGTAGGAGGGTTTCCACCTACCATCCACTCAGGGACAAGCCCTGACCTCGGCACTATCACTGCTCACACTGACACCAAATTGGGAGTAGGAAAACTGAAGTTTTTGGGAGTAGGAGAAGCTGAATGTCACAGAAAGCAGACAGGTTTTATTACATCGTTTTGAATTCCTTCAGATCATTTTCCAGAATAGTTAACACCGATTACCTTAAAGACCTTTTAAATGGGGTTTCCCTATCATTAGTGGAAGGACTAAGAGATTTGTCTAAAAAAATAATGACCATTAAAATGGCCAATGACTAGGTTTACGTTTCAAATCTGAAAAGCCCTCTCTTTTATCTCACTATGTATCAAAATATTTTCTTCTTAGCTTGTCAGCTAGAGGTAGAGTTGAAATAGCCCCTATCAGCAGAGGGGGTTAATTTCCAGTCAGTCAGTCCACAGAACAAAATTTATAATGTTTAGACTTTCAAAAGGTGGTATTTGATTGATACTGAGGTGGGGTAGGGATGGATATGAGCATGAAAATGTGCTTCACATAAATTTCCTCCAAACAAAAGCTTGTCCTTACTCCTGGCTGGCTCTATCTTGTTTGGGGGAAAATATGAAGAGTTCATTCAAGTAAGATAACAGGAGACTTAAAGTTTAGAAGAGAAAGTATAATGGGCATATCATTGCATACAGGTAACCTGTGTATATACAGATATATGCCCAGAGAAAAAGAGGGCTAACTTTATTGTGCATGCAGCAGTTAATGAAATATTTGTATAGAACTGTTTTTATTTAAAATTTATACTCATATATCATTCCGGGTAAAAAATCGTGTGTTCATTGAGACTGACAGGATAACAAATGAAGAAAATCTCAGCTTATATGTTACTATCACTTGGTATCAGAACAATTTCGGCACATCATTTTGATCATTTCAAGAAAATGGGATTAACATGCGTAGCCTACTTGAAAATAAAGGCCATAAGCCTGTAAACTTCAATTGAGAATAATTACATGTAAGGCATAAACTACACTGAACTAAAAAAATTTTACTTTTCTTTTATAGGGACCTGAAACAAGAGTCCCATCTGAATGTGATGATGAGACAGCAAACATTGTAGAATTTCTGAACCAATGGATTACCTTTTGTCAAAACATCTTCTCAACACTGACTTAAGTGCCTCCCATTTAAAATTTATCAGGCTTTCTATTTATTTAAATATTTAAAAATTATATTTATTTTTTGATGTATGGTTTGCTATCTTTTGTAACTATTATTGTTCGTCTTTAGATGACAAATATGGATCTTTTAAGATTCTTTTTGTAAGCCCTAGGGGCTCTAAAAATGTACGTAAATTATTTATCCCAAAGTATTTATTTTTATATTGAATTGTTAAATATATGTCTATGTAGATCAATTAAATTATTTAATAAAGCTGATGAATAACATCAAGCCCAGATATTTGTTATTCTGAGACTAGCACAGAGTCATCACTAAAATGTTTCCAAATTACTCACTGTGGCGCTCCCCTTGTGAGCTCACCTTGTGGCTAAGATGCTCACAAAAGTCGCTCCTTTCCTGGCGAGCTGTGTGGAGCAGGGAAATGAGCTTCTCAAAGCGCTCGCGTTCTCCTTCCCCAAGCAGATCAGTTCCTTGGTTCCAGTCTGAGGAAACCTCATCAAACTATACTTTTCCCTTCTCCAACAAGCCTTAAATTTAAACACGATGCCCGACATGACCATTCTTGAAACTCGTCATGTAAGTGGTGTGTCCCTCTATCCATTCTCCAACATCGTACAGCTCGCTCCCTGCCCTCAGGAGCCTCCAGCAAAGGCCTCCCCTGCTGTGGCTTCACAGTGGGACCTGCCACTCACTAGGGAGCCCCAGAAGGTCTGAGGGATCGGGGAGATTCCCAACTATGCCTGTGGAGCAGCTACTGCTGGCTGTGCCTCTCAACCAAGGTGGCTCCCGAGAGACTTCTTGCTTCTGGGCTCTGCTACCTTTTCCTTCCAGTCCTCCCTTCGAGTGAGGGATGGTAACACTTCTGTTAGCAGCCCCAGCCTATTCTATCACCCCTTGCAGTTTCCCTCCACCCTGACCAGAGCCTTATAATTCATCTCTTTATTAGGCCTTCCTTGAATTATTCTCAGCATGCCAACTGATTCCTGACTCAGACACAGTCATTGTACCCGGAATAGCACCCAGGAATAGACGTTCAAATAGGAGCCTGGGACTGGGCTGTTCATATATTCAAGGAACACATGATAACAGGATATGAGAAATCTATGGGATGTAGTGGCATCCTGATTAAATTTCCATCCGCGGCAGCCTAGGCTGAAATGCAGATGGAGGCCAGCTTGTTGTGAGATCGAAGGCCATGACATTATAACTGTCACAGCAACAATTATAAAAATCTCTTCTGATGGTCCCAGACAGAAAACAAAGGGAAAAAACAAAGTTATGAATACACAATTAAAATGTGCATGGAAGTCCTCATTGGCAGTTTGGAAATAGTTCATCTCTGTCTGTAGTCAGGGGCATGCACAGCAGACACAAGGCCAGGGCCGGAGGTAAGGTCTGCAAAGCCATAGTGCCAATGAGGCGTTTAAGCCTCCAGGTCTCCTACACTAAGGATGGGGAAGGAGTGGGACCGAGATGTGAAATGTGGGCGCAGGCTGACAGCATCTGTTGGTCCTGTGACAGAGGTAGCCCCTTTTCTTTAGCAGCATCCTTCTGAGGAAAACCTGCTCCTCTACTTAAAAACTTTCCAGTGACTCAAGTTCAGGGCAATTTTCCTCAGAACTCACTTATACCCCCTTTCATTACCTCCAGGACCAAAATGGGAATTAAGACCTTAACATCGCTTTGGCAGTGAGATACGAAGTGTTGAGACCAAGGGGGGGCGTTTGGGTTGATGTAATCGAGATGAGTGTAACTCCCTGGAATTCAGACTTTAATGTGAACTTGCAAGTGGCATTAATAGTTGGTTGAATAAATGCTTGGATTCCACATGGCCTCTTTTTAAGGATGCTGGAGCACCAGAGCTTCCCCACAGAAGAAAGAGGGCAAAGGACCAGGGGATGGGCGGTGCTGGGATGCGTCCATCACACGCCACGCCATCTTCTCGCCTGGCGCAGGAAGACACTCAGAAACGCACAGGTCAGGGGACACCTGCACCCCGCCCCCCCCCCCCCCCCCCCCAGCTCTGGTGGCTGCCTTCATTAGCCAGAGATGAGATGGCGCTCCTTGGGGCCTACTCAAACTATAAATTAAACAACAGCCAATATACTTGGCATCTATTACAACACAAGAAGTGACAGAGCAGTAAATTATATTTTAAGTCAACTTAAATTTATAGGATGTATCAGGATCAAAAGATTTCTAAAGAGGAAATTCTCGTGCTTCCTGTTTACTTAACAATATTCTTTCTCCTTTCTCTCATCAAAGAACAATTACCCTTATCTATGAACCATCAATTTCAGCTCATTTTCAAAGAAAATAAAATTGCATTTGAGAGTCACAGTGAACCTTCATTAACTAATGTTATGAAGCTCGGCAACATTCACCTCCAGTCACTATCAACATTTTCAAAGTATTTGTACGTGTTTCATGTGCACACTGTACTCACTTTTCATGAGTTTCATCTGAGGCTCTCTTAATGCTTCCTTCCCTTCGTGTGCAAAATGAAATATAATCACCTAAAATCACCTCCCAACTAAAAACTCCTAAGTTTCTATAACATATGTAATTAAAGGTCTGTCCTAGGCACTGCCTTAATACATGACCCACACATTATTTTATTAAAAAATTTAGAATATGCTTTCTAAGCATTTTTATTCCACGGCACAGATAAGAAAACGGCATCACTGAACATGGGGGTAACCATAGGCCGCCTCAGCCCAGGGTTACCTCTCCACAGGCCCTCCAAGGCTGAATGGGCTACACACTGACTCCTCATTCATAAGCCGTCACTTGCGCCAATATTTTAACTATTGTACTATTTCTAATAACTGAGTTAGACTGAGGATGAGGGAAGCATGACAAAATATAGGCTGGGGTTAAATCTCTAAGAATTCAAACTTTGAAAATACCCGGAACATAATCTCCTAGTCTCCTACTGCTCCTTTCTCAAAGCACCTGCTTCCACTCGATTCTGTTTTTTCCTCGTAGTTGGTTTTCCCCATTTTGGCTTGAGCCATTTTAGTGATGCGTTCACATCTCCCTAAGCAGAGCTGACCCAATAGTAGCTGGGCCAATTCTCTAAACATCCAGTATCCCCCAAACAAGTCACAGACATCACATTAGGTGCCTCTGCTATGAAGTCACGCACGTGGATGAAATCTCCCCACTCTTAACAAACCTAACCACAGCCGTATTGTCCTCACCATCAAGACACCAGAAAGAACAGGATTCATTCTCTGCCCCCATATCCTCATTTCTCATTCACGCCTTAACCATGGCCGATTTTACTTCTGCCACCACCAGCTTTTTATTATTGTGTACAGTGGTGTTTTTCAAAGTGTGGGCGAAGTCCTACCTGCCTCAAATCATCTGTAGAACTGGTTACAGTGCAGATTTGGGGCCTTTTCCCAGATCTGCCTAATCATAATACCTTGGACTGGTGCCTCTCCTGAGCACCCAGGTTTGGGAACTGCTTTTCTGTCACTGAAGGGCTCCTGGTGCGAAATCCAGTGTGTTTCTGTGGGCCTCATTCTGCATGGCCCCTCTGCAGCACTTGAGAACGCTTATCCTATTCTTCTTGGAATTCCTCTTTCTGCTACCCTCACTCTTCAGCCACCTGTCAAATACCTCCATGCTTCCTCTCATTTTTCCAGATTCAAAATGTTAAGCGTTCCTTGATGTTCCAGTCCTAATGTTTTTCTTTTCATGCTCTCAGATGAGGCAAACACTTTTCTCACAATTTGAATAATTAACTCTCTGCGAGTGATTCCTAATTTTTATCTTTACTCCAAAACTTCCAAGGTCTCTATCGCTGTATTTCCAATTGCTTAATGTCTCCACTTAACAATTTTATTACCACCTTAAATATTTATGTCAGAACGTCAAACCACTTCATAGACAGTGTAGATGCCTGACCACTGCAACACACACCTGATGCTAGAGCTGAATAATACTGAATGTCAACTATAATTTAATACATACATAGTCACAGGATGTGGAGTACAGCATAGGGAATAGAGTCAGTGGAACTGTAACAGCTATATACGATGTCAGAGGGGCGGTAGATTGGGGGAGGAGGGTTATCACTGTGTGAGGGGTGTAAATGTCTAACTAGTACATTGTTTTGTATGTCTGAAACGAAAACAAAAACAAAACAAAAAACACCTTCAAATCTTGACCACCAAACCGGATTCCACGCTTCCCTTCCCTACTTCCGGTTACAGCGCCTCCCGTTACTGGCCCCCGCCCGGGGGTCATCTCTGCCTTGTCCATCCCCTTGGCCTCATGTGCCCCACTTTCAGGTCTCACCGCCCGACTATTGCTTGAACTTATCTTAATAATTGGTCACAGCCCTGGTTGGGGGCATTATTTCCTCTTACTCAGGATGTACCATAACTTTGTGGCTTTCAAGTCTCTTCTCTAAACAACCTAAAAACAAAACAAAACAAAAAAACCCCCACCAACTGCTGATAAAAAAACACTTATAAAAGCAAAAAATGGAAAACAGCCAAAATGTTTATCCATATATGCATTTGTGTGTGTGTGTGTATGGTTACATTAAAATAATGAAAGGATAAACAAAAAACCTAAATGATAATTTTCTATACATATAGGTCCTACGCGTGTGTAAAGGAGAGAAAGAGTGCACATACACACACTCTGGGATGGAGCAGAGATAAAAGACAGGTTTGCCTGCATACACCACAGCTTTATATTTTTACATAACAATTCAAAATCTCAATTTCTAAATATCAAGAGCCAAATTAAATAATCTTAACGGTGTGTTGAATTGGGGGTCTAAGTCACAGAAAATAGTTATTTTAAGTTACTGTAAAACCCGTTAATTTGATCACACATATGTGGTAGGATATGTCCTAAGGATGAAAGCAATTTAAAATTGTTTTCAGTAATCATATTAATGATAGTGGTGATATTATTATTCTGAGACTATTATGCGTGTGTTGTGGAAAAAAGTAAATAAGAAATTATGTTGGTATCAATAGGAAAGCAGGATTTTGGTGTGAGAGAAAGGAGATACAAATGTAAGATTTAAAAGGTTAACTAAAAACCCTGTGGGCCTGAATTTGGAAGTATCAATATTAACTAAAAATATCATTTCATCTTAAATTAATATACATATTTCCAAGCTCTCTTCCTTGAAAAGACCTATGTGAAAATAACCAAACCAGTATTAACAGGTTCCCTTAGCATCTAGACTGTGGTTTCTAAACACAACTTCCCATGAAAGGAACTAGAGCTCTTTAGGGGAACGGCCAATTCCCATGAAGGGCAACAAATGTACAAGACGAGGCTAAAACATTCTGTCGTGAGAAATGAAGGGAACAATGACACAGAAATCGACATGACAATGTTCCCACATAACACAAGGATATCACGCACCATGATTCACAGTGTACTCGGAAGTTGTAGCCAGTGGAAAAAAAATGTAAGAGAAATGACAAGATTGGGACAGAAGAAATAAACCTCTCATTATTCACATATGACGTGACTGTTATGACAAAAATCCAAAAAGCCCTACAGATAAACTATTAGAATTAATTTAGCAAGGTCACAAAATAGAAGGCCAACATAAAAAGTCAGTTGTATGTCTACACATGAGCAACAGAAAATAGACAAAATGATATTACTTAAAATAACATCAGAAACATCAACTAGAAGAAAAATATTAAGATGCTTGGAAGAGACTCCTATTGACAAACCAGAACAATCTGAATATGAATTGTAATGACTAAAACAAGTATGTTTACACTTACAATAATATTTTTTAAAATCTCATTGGTCTTTAAAAGATGACAGGGAATCAACTACTTATTTCAAAAACATAAAGAAAGAGAAACAATCCAGACTTTTCTGTTACCATCTATACACCAGGTGTCAAATAATATATAAGTGGACATCTCTTTCATAGCAGCATTCCAGATGAGAAAAGCTGAGTGCTACCTGCAGCCCCTAATCAAATACTAGAGTCAGGCAACGGTCATCAGCGACCGCTAACATTGCGAAAGAAAGACAACCCAGCCACTGTGTCTTCTGATGAGAGCAGACAATACTGCCTATGATGTATTGTTGCTAAAAAAAGAACATGGAGCTGTAAGCAACAAGTTTGAGGGACACTGCAAACAAGGGACCCAGTTTTTTTCAAGAACTAAAAGAAAGAAAGAGATGAAATCTAGAGATTAACACATAACTAACAAACGAATTCCAATATATGATATTATTTTTATCTTGGGTCCAACAATCTATATAACATGTATGAAATAATGGGAGAAGTACTATTCATTTTTAATCGTGCTAAATAAATTGCTGTTATGTGTGCACGTGTGTGTATATGAGTCCTTGTATTTTATAGATGCATATCAATATATTTTCAGATGAAATAACATCTGCTATCAGCTCTAACATAATCCAGTTTGGGGAGATACATACCAAACAAGATTGCCATGTTTTAATAATTATTGAAGCTCAGTGATGGGTACATGGGGATTCGCCTACTATTTTCTCTATTTTGGGACATTTGCAAATTTCCATAGTAAGTAAAGAAAGAAAATGTTGTGGAATGGTGTTTTAATGTATGTTAGTCACCTCCCTACACAAAATCTTTCAAGTGCTCCCTTGTGCCTCCCAAACTGAGACCACCTGCTAGACTCAACGCTCACCGTTTCCATCAAGAGCTCCAGACCTCAAACATTGTGACATGCCCCCTCTAATCTGCTTTATTACTTCCAGCTGGAATGGATTCTCTCCCCCATTGTAGCTTTCTAAATTTTACACATCCTTCAGTGCTTGCCTCCTATAACTTTAGAGCTGAAAGAGGACTTAGATGCAACTACAATAGTTTAGTGGTTTTTGAACAATTTTACAAGTTGAAGTTTAGAAGTCTAAATTTGGAAGTTTACTTTTCCTCAAGAAAAAGTATCTTGCACAACCCCAATACACAACACATAAAAGAAGATAATGAGCACTGATGCTTTTGCCGAAGGGTAGCCTGGAGCCCTTTCTATCAAGCTCCCTCCCTGAAAAAGGATGACAACCACTAGTGTCAATTTCATCCTTGCAAAGATAAAAAACTGAGCCAAGCAAGATTCAATAACTTTTAACAGTCATAAAGGTTCAATGCTGGGTTCCAGGGCCATCTCCTGCCCCTTTTACAAATGCCATAACTCCTTTATCCTTTACTTAGTCCCTCAGTATCCCTCTCTAGGTATCTTTTCCTTTCTCTAAACCAAAACACTACATATCATTGACATACCACAGAGAAAACTCAGTGACTACATGTTGAATAAACACATGGTACTTACTAGATTCTGTCTGTAAAGGATTGGGTATATTTATTTTATCTTACCCTTAAAACTGTACATTTCTTGAGAAAATAAATAGTCTTTTGCTGATCCTCATGGCAGTGTCTAACATAGGGCCTTTACTAGTAGGCAAAACTTTCAGAGGCAAACATTAGGCACTGGTGTTCTCCCTCTTTTTAAGTGTCAGTCCAAAGCAAAGCACCCACAAATGTGAAGTGCCAAGAGCGGGTGAAAGATCTTGCAGTTTCAAAGGCAAATTTACTATAAAAAAATAATAGAAATATAAGCTGAAAAAATTCAGCTGTGGAAGGAAACAATCCAGAAAAGAAACTACAAAATTTTAACAAAGAAATACCAGTTTGGAGAAATAAGCAATAAATATGTAGTTGATAAAAACAGAGCTGAATAGAATATTTATGTTGAGTCCTATGAAACTGCTCATATTTGTCCCTTTTAATCTACCTAAAAAAAGGCAATTTCACCTGGTTCAATCTGGTATTAGTAAGTATAGAGTCTAGTCCACTCAAGGACAGGTAGGTATGTCTTTCTGGGATGACCTCAATATTCAACTAAATTCTACCATACTTTGTTAATAGACAAGCAACCCTACCTCAACCTCATCAGAGATTATAATGGTTCATGTGGGTGGCATGAAATAAAATTAACAAAGAGCCAAGCTAAGAGGGACAAAGTCTGAGAAAAATAATGTCTAATACATTGTGCCTGGAACGAAGGAATAGGTCGAAGATGCACAAGTATGGAACAAACTCACAATTTCCCTAAAGATATACATCCTAACTCAGGAGTATTAAATATACTTTCCCTTTTCATTGAATCATGGTATAAACAAATATAAAGCTAAACAATCCTTTATAATCCAAATTATAAAGGACTAAATCACATTTGGCTGGATCTTAGAGGACACTTGAAAACGGGCAATCTTAAAGCATTTATGAAAACTATCTACTAATCGGAATAACTCACTTATCAAATTATTCCCTAACATGGTTAACATTTTTCTGCATTTGCATGTGCAGTTTGCATTCACGAACTTCTTTGACACGAGAAATGATGATTTAGTTACTGCTTTTACTATCACATAGCATGGTGATTGTAAATATTAGGCACTCAAATGTCTGTTGAATTAATCAACAAGTGATTAAGAATTATTATTGGTATTCTTGGATTCTAATTTTTAGGTAAAAAAAAAAAACTTGAGATACCAGGACACAATGTTGAATTATCTTCACTATACGGATGGATAGCTTTAAAACAAAATCTTAAAAGAATGAATTTTCTTTTAAACTACAAAAAGGGTACTGGCTTTATAATGTCTGTAAAAATAAATAAAAAATGGCTACATAATGAAAAGGTAATTTTTTTCCAAAAAATAAAATCTCAAAACCCTAATGTTTCAAGGAAATTTGACACGGATCTTTCCAAATTTTCAGCCATCTCTGGACACTGCTGTTGCAAGATTCTGATTTTGAAAGCTAAAAACTACCAATATTAAAAAAAAATTTACTACCAAAACACACCAAAAAATAAAAGACTTTTAATGTGACAATGGATTGCCTAATTCACATACTAAATTGCTCTATACAGGGAGATTTCACAATCCAGGAGCCATAGCCATGTTGCTTTAAGTAGGATTTCAACAAAGTTTTAGCTTCTTGATACGATCCAGACAAACACTATAGAAAGAAAAAGAAATTGAATTATAGAACATAATGAAAAGTAGCCCTAACCTTGTTTCTTTAGTTTGATATTTTAAAAATTAATGAAAAATTTTTCGAATTCCTATGTTTTTCTCAATGCTATTTTTGAAACTAAATTTTCCTTCCCAACACTCCTAAAAGAATTTTTTTAAACATTTTTAATTAAAAGCATAATCATACTCATTACAGAAAGCTTGAAATATAGAGAAAACATAAAGGAACTAAAAAGCACCTGTAATCCCCAAACTACAGACAACCACCATTAATATTTTGATTTTCTTTTATTTTTTTAAATAAATGAACATATAGATGAGCTTAAAATAAAGATTTTTTGAGGTATAATGTATATGCCATGAATTCACCCACTATAAGAATACAGTTTGATGTTTAGTAACTTTATGCAGAGATGCTGCCACAGTCCAGTTTTAGAACAATTCCATCGCCTGCCAAGAGTTCTGTTTTCAGTCAGTCTGTCCTCCTGGCCCAGCCCCAGGCAACCGCAAATCTATTGCACTTACTGTCTCCAGAGTTTTGGTTTTTCTAGAAATTTCACGAACACTGATTAACATATATGTATTCTATTGTGTCGGGCTTCTTTTCAGTAAGCATGTTTTTAGATTCATTCATGCTGTTTCATGTATCAGAAGCCTGCTTCCTTTTATTGCTGACTGCCGTGGTATCGTATGGATACACATACAGTTCATGCATTCACCCCCTGAAGAACATCCAAACTGTTTCCAGTTTGGGGCCATTATGAATGAGGCTGCTGTGAGCATTTCTGAATGCGTCTTGTAGGGAAATGAGCTCACGCTTCTCCTCCCGCGGACATGCCGGGTCACATGGTAAGGATATGCTCACTGCTGTAACGGCCTAGCTGTTTTCCAGGGTGACGGCACCACCTGCCATTCGTGTCAGCGGGCAAGAGCCTTCTAATCTCTCCGCCACCGCGCCTGGACAGCCACACTTCTGGATTTTTATGGGTGTGCAGAGGTATCTCATTGGGGTTTGATTTTCCATTTCCCTAATAGCTACTGAGGCTGAGCATCCTTTATATGTGTCTTAGCCATTTGTATATAGTCTCTGCAACTTTTAAAAAATGGGTTGTTTGCCCTCTTAATACTGGGTTTTAAGAGTTCAGAATATGTTCTAGACCAGGAGTCGGCAAACTGCAGCTCGCAAGCCACATGCAGCTCTTTCGGTTATGCACATGTGGCTCTGAAATAATACTGAAAATGAAAATAAAACTATCATAGTTTCATTTATAAAATTTTTAAAGGATATTATTCACATAATGGTAATTTCATTTGTTTATGGCTCTAGAATAATTTTTAAATTGTTGTGAGGGACAGGATTGGCTCTTCCATCTCAAAAGTTTGCCGACCCTGTTCTAGATCCAAGACCTTTACCAGATGTATGATTTGCGAGTAATTTTTTTCCAGTCTATAGCTTGTAGTTTTATTCTCTTGATGATTTTTGAAATCAAGTGTTAAATTTTGGAGTCTAAATGATCAATTGTTTCTTTTATGGATTGTGCTTTTGTTGTCATAGCTAAGAAAATTTCCCCTAACCTAAGAATAGAAATATTTTCTCATGTTTTCTTTCAAAGTTTAACAGTTTAGCTTTTAGGTCCATGATCCATTTTGAGTTATTTACTTTTTTGCATGACTGATATAGCAAATTAATATTTTGTTTTGCCCACAGATATCCAACTGTCCCAGCAGCATTTGTTGAAAAGACTATTCTTTCTCCCATTAAATTACCTTGACACCTTTGTACAAAATCAACTATCGCTGTGTGGGTTTATTTCTGGACTCACTCTGTTCCATTGAGATCTCTACCCATACGTCTATCATTAAATCAATACATTGTCTTGAAAGCTGTGCCTTTATGACAAGGTTTTGAAACTGGGTAGAGTGAGTCTACCAATTTTGTTCTTTCTAAAAATTGTTTTAGTTCTTCTATGTCTTTGGATTCACATATCAATTTTAAAATCAGCTTGTCAATTTCTACACAAAAGTTTCCTGCAATTTTGATGGAGTTCGCATTGAATGCATAGATTCATTTGGGCAAAACTGACATCCTAACAGTATCGAGTTTTCTAATTCTTGAAATGGTACATCTCTCCACTTATTTAGGTCTACTTTAATTTCTTTCACCAATGTTTCATCATTTTCAGTATGTAGGTCTTGCACTTTTTTTATTCCTAAGTATTTTTCTTACACTATTATGAACAAAATTTTTTACCCAATTATAAGTTTGGAACGTTCATTCCTAGTATACAATTTATTTTTGTATATTGTTCTTAAACTGTGTGTCAAATTCACATATGACATAGTTGTCTTTCACAGGATATTTTATATACAAGATTATATCATTTACAAATAAGGACTGTTTTTCTTCTTCCTTTTCCAGTCTTGGATGCCTTTGGTTTCTTTTTCTTGCCTTGACAGGAACAACACTGAACACATGTGGTGAGATCTGACCTCCTTCCTTTCTTCTCCAGTCTTGAGGAGGAAGGGCTAGAATATTCAGTCTTTTACCATTAAGTGTGATGTCAGCGGTAGGATTTCAGTTGATGCCCTTTATCAGGTCGAGGCAGTTCACTTCTATTTCCTATTTGTTCAGTGTTTTTATTGTTATAGGTGTTGAATTTGATCAAATGCATTCTGTATATCTTTTGAGATAATTATGCGGGTACTGAACTTGAATCCATTCATACAATGTATTACTACATCAAATAATTTTCTGATGCTAACTCAACCTTGCATTCCTGGAACATCCTTGGTCAAGGTGTACAACCCTACTTTTATATGTTGCTGAATTTGGTTTGTCAGTATCTTAAGAATGTTTGCATTTATGTTCCTGAGAGGTATGAGTTTATAATTTTCATTCCTTGTAATGTTTTTGCCCAGTTTTGGTGTCAGGGTTATACTGGCCTCATAAAATGAACTGGGAAATGTTCTCTCCTCCTTTATTTTATGAAAGAACTTTTATAGGATTTGTATTATTTTTTGCCTTTATGTTTGATAGAATCTGCCAGTGAAGCCATGCATTCTTTACTTAGGGAACGAATATTAATTAATAATTCAGTTTCGTTCGTTCAATTCAGACATTCTATTTAGTCAGGTTTTGGAATTTATATCTTTCTAGGAATGTGTCCATTTCATCTAACTTGTCTATTCTGTTGACAAAAAGTTGTTCATAATATTCCCTTATAATTATTTTAGCTCTTTGGGGTCTGTACTGATGACCCTTCTTTCATTCCAGATTTTGATCTATTTTTTTCTCAGTCTTACTAAAGAATTATCGATTATGTTTACTTTTTTAAATGAACCTACTTTTTTTCCCCCTGATTTTTCTGTTTTCTATTTCATTGAGCTCTATTGATTCTATATTATTTCTTCCCTTCTTACTTTTGTTTTGATTTGTTCTTCTTCTAACATCTTGAGGTAAAAGCTCAAGTAGCTGATTTCATGATTCTCTTCTAATATAAGCTTTTAAAGCTATAAATTTGTCTGTAAGCACTTATTTGATTATATTCCATAAATTTTAATAAGTTGTATTTCCATTTTCACTCAGTTCAAGATATTTCTTAATTTCCCTTACAATTTCTTTGACTCATGGGCTGTTCAGAGGTTAACATCCAAATGTATAATTTGTGTTCTTATACCCATATACATATGTATGTGACTGTTGTAAGTTCCTACCTTTTCACCACTATGTTGTTATTTGTCTCTAGTAATAGTTCTCCTCTTAACGTATATTTGTTTGATATTAAATATAAACACCCCAGGTCTCTTACTGGTATTATTTACATGGTATTTTTTTTTTATCCTTTTACTTTCAATCTATTTGTGTCTTTGAATTTAAGTGTCTGTTGCAGACAGTGTATAGTTGGATCTTGCTTTTTTTACGCAATCTGACCATCTCATTTTTTTCTGGAGCATTTAGTCTACTCAAGTCAATGTATTTATTGATAGAGTTTCCATGTCTGCCACGTTACCATTTATTTTCCAGGTCCCATGTATTTTATTGTTCTGCTGCCTCTTTACTGCCCTCTCGCCTTTTTAAAAATACATTTCAGTAGAGGACTTGGAAAATAAATAGTATTCAATATTTGGACCCATTCAGAACCAGTTTGGATTGTTAAGGCTTCACATTCCTGTTTTTTATATATCCCAATATTTTTATTTGAAACTAGGACTTTTTAGGTAACATATTGTAGCAATTCTGTGGATTGTTTCATTGTTCAAAAGTTGTGCATTTTTAAAGTTTAGCTCATCTAAATTGTGGGGTCTGTTTTCCTCATGGTGTGCAGCTGCTGTTGTCTCCTCCATGTTTTTATTCTTATTTTTATGTCTTAGCCTGGCTTCCTAGTGGTTACCCTATATCTGCATAGTTTATTGATAGGCAGATGATTTCAGCAGACATTGTACTCAAACACCTTAAACCTATAAGGATTCCATCTTCTTCTGATCTATCTGTGAGTGTGCGTGTGCATGTGTGTGGGGGGAAAGTGCTGGAGGGAGGGCGGAGGTGGGTATTTAACGTTGTAGCCAGTTCTCTTTCTGTTTTACTCTTTTTTGGGCTCTCTTGGGTCTGCCCGCACATGAGTGTAGTTTCTCATTCTCAGACAGCCAGGGATATGGAGAGAATAGACCTCAGCCCTCCCATGGCTCTCTCATCTCCAAAATCTGCCCAGGGTACTAGTTGGTCCACCATTTGCCCCAACCAGAACCAGCAAAGTAACTGATTTTCCCCATTTGTTTCCAACCAGGTTTGGCGCTATTCGCTGACAAAGCCACAAAGCTGGGCCACCCCCTACTCCAAATCAAATCTACCCGCTTTAGCAGCAAACCTGCTATTTTTGGTGGCATTCTCACGGGCAAAACTACAGTTCTTGCCATTTAAACCGGCAGAGAGGAAGACAGAAGAACAGGACTAGTTTTGAGCAAAGGTGATACAAGCTCCTACTGTTCCTACTCAAAGTTCTAGTAGTTTTTCAAGAACATACACTTTTCAATGTGTTTTCTGCCTTTAGTCAATTTCCAAAGATGTGAAAAGATTGTGTTTTTTTGGCCTAGTTTTATACTTGTTTTTATAGAGATGATCTGCAACCTCTTTATGCCACCCAAGCCAGAAACTGTCTAAACTTTTATACTTAAAAATATATGTGTACATACACACAAACCTGTAACTATTAATATAATTGCATTACAGATTGGGTTTACACAGTTTGAGCACTAAGGTACTGGTGAAATGAAGAGACTTTCACATATACTATTATCTCATTACTAAAACTGTAATTAGGTAATCAGAAACAATTTATATATATGTATATATTTAATAACTTGATAGCATAGATAAGTTATGTTATTAGCACGTGGCTCATATATTATGTTGAGGAAAAAAGCAGTTTAAAAAGATCATTATCCACTGTGACCTTAGTCTTTTAAGATCATACACAAAAATACATTTATTTACATGACAAGGAAGTGAAATAACATGCTTACATTACAAGTTAAGAGTATTATATTTGAATAGCAGATGGGATTACAAGTAATATTCTTCCTCTGTACTTTAAAAAAATTGCAGAATTCTCTATTCAAATATGCATCATGTATGTAATACTAAAAAAAGCATAAATATTTTTAAAGAGAGAAAATGCCTATTTACATCACCAACTCAGGCCCAAATCATATGCTGAAATTAAAGCCGTTTCACAACTTTAAGATAGGAAAAATAACTTATTTGGATATCTTAATGTATTATTTTAGAATAACTAACTTGTATAGTCAGCACAGTTAATATCAGAAATAGAAGAAATATGATACCATTTTTTTCTGGATATGACTGCAAGTTTTGAACAATATTGTCAAAGCACGCACCATGCTGAGGTGGCTATTTAAAGTGGCAACACTTACTTACATATCCAATTTCTGGCATGTTCATTTAAAGATTAATTTTACCACTAATGGCAGTATCTTATATTCAATAACTATTCAACCAAGTTTTGCTACTATCATTATCCTAAAATTACCACACTGTTGTCTTAAATTACATTTCTATAATGAACTGTATTCCTTTAAGGACTTACCTTAGCTGCATGGTATGTACTAGCTTCAAGTACGTCATCTTTCTTAACTTCACTGGCAAGCAAGTTAAACCGACTTAACATTGCAGCCTTACAAAGCCGACTTGCCATCGACGTACCACTTTTAAATGGGGAACTAAGAAAGGAACAAAATAATCACAGTCAGCATTCAACGATTCATGCTGGCAATTGCAGGGATTAAAATTAACATAGAATCAACAGATATTTACCTCAATTATGTGCAATGCATACAGTGAAATTTTTTACATAAAGTATTCTGAATATTTAATTACTTTCTGAAGTTAATTTAATGAAATTACAGTTTATGTTATATAGTACTGCATTAAAATTAAAGCAGAAGATGGTTATTTGGAACATTTCAATTGTTTAAAGCAAATTAATCTATGGTAATCCAAAATAAAACAGTGGGTCTACCAGGGCCTGACTAGAAGATGGCACAGAACTATTTCCTGGGATGATAAAAATGTCCTGCGTTTTGAGTGGAGTGATTGTTACACAGATACATACGACACATTCATCAAAACTCATGACATTGTACAGTGCCTGTCACTATATGTCAATTTTAACTCACCAAAAACAGTAAAATACACACACCCATTTCACAATCCTCCCGGTATATGTGTGCCTGTACGCACATGCAGGTATATATTTTGTCTGTGTTTTTAATAACAGCAAGTCCACACATCATGAACTTTTGGGCTAGTGTAACTCTCCCTGCACTGTGTCTTCTCATTCGTTGCTTTTGTGATAGATTACAACAACTGCACAAATCCTTCATTCCTGTCTCCATGCTCCTTACAATATGATTTTTCAGACTCTCCCACTAATAAGCCGTGTTTGATCTCCTCTCCCCTTGAATTAGGGCTCGCTTTGTGACTTGTTTTAGTGAAGAGAACAGACGATGAGCCAGTTAGTTCTGAGCCTGGGCCTCAGGGGCCTTTGTCCTTCTCTTGGGACCCCTCCCTGGCCACGTGAGCCACCTGGGACTAGTCCACCAGAGGGGGAGGGAACACAAGGGCTGCACCCAGCTGTCCCTGTAAGATCAGCCAAGTTGACCTTCAGTTAACCTAGAGCTGACCCTAGGTGCATGGGGCAGCCCAACCAAATCAACTCAGTTGACCTAAGGACTTCTGAGCAGTAATAAACGGTAGTTGTTTTAAGCCACGAAGTTTTGAGGTAGTTTATATGCAGCAGTAGTTAACGTATGCGCCTGTGTATGAAATCTATTGATCTCTATCTATTAATTTTTCACCATGATACTTTTTGTTGTGGTAGTTTTCCAGATAGTTCCCATGGGCTTTTCAGGTATAAATGATACCATATGCAAAAAGCAGTAATTTTACCTTCTCCTTTCCAATATTTTATATCTTATTTCTTTCTCGTGTCCAAATACATTAAGTAAAATGTTAAATAACAGTAAACAGTCACGTTTGTTCTGGATGTTAGTGAAAATGCCTCTGAGATTTCATTACTAATTGTGATGATACTTTTGGACTAATACATTTTATCCTTAACAAAAATATCTACTCCTTTTTAAATTATCTTTACCTAAAATAGTTGCAGGGCTGTATTATATGCCTTCTTAGAATTTAGAGAGATGATACATGGTATTTTTTCCCTAGATCAATTATTTTGACAAATTACATTAATAAGGGTTTTTAATCTGGTATTATTTCTATTATGTTACTGTCCTCACATTCCTAGAAAAAAACCCAATTGGTACCTTTGTATAAAATAGTGGGTTATGGGCTGGCCGACTGGCACGTTGGTTAAGAGCTGGCTTGGGACGCCAGGTCTGAGCAGCAGGGCCCTGGTTTGGATCCCACATGAGGGCCAGTGACGCTGCGCCCTCTACAGCTAAGATGGTGAACAACAGCTCGACCTGGAGCTGGGCTGCCGTGAGTCACCAGCGACGGCGTAGGCTGCAGTGAAGCTGCAGTGGGCTTCCATGAGCTACTGTGTGTGGCCGGCAGCCAGTGTGAGCTGCCAAGAGCCGCCATGAGCGGCTGTCCAGTGGGTGGCGACCGATCTGCCTCACCTGGGAAGAGCACAATGATGATACCAACATGGGCCAGTGAAGCGACGTCCTCCACTAGACTGAAGAACAAAACGACAGCAACTTGTCTGTACCCCTTCCCTGATTCCCCAATGCTGTTCCCCTCCCCCAATTCCCCAATAAAATTAAAAAAAATATATTGGGTTGTCGGAAAAGTCATGACTTATTTTTTCTATGGTTTTCGTTGCAAAAATGCATCATGACTTTTCCGACAACCCAATATATTATTTTAATGTAATACTAGATTCTGCTTCCTAATATTTTATACAGCAATTCTGCTTGGATATAAAAGTGAGCTTCTTCTATAACTTTTGGGGAGAGGAGCAGCAATCTTCTATCATGATTAAGTATCAATGATACACTTGCTTCTTAAAAGGTTTTGGATGTTTTCCATATTTTCAGATAGCATTGGAAATTTCTGCTATTTAAAGGTTTATAAAACTCCTTTGAACCACCTTAGAATGGTGCTTTGAGAAGTAAGGGTACTGTCTTGATAAATTTTTCATGAAAATAATCTGTTTAGATTTTTGTTTCATCTGTACCACTTTTAGAAATTTTTCCTAGAAATTTATGCATTCTAACCCAGGTTTTCAAATATATTTGCATGGTTGAGCAAAGACGTTTCTTATGATTCTTTCAGTTTTCACTGTTTCTGAGTATTTTACTCCCGTATTAGTTTATATGAGATTAGTGATATTTTTTTCACAAAATCAGCTTTTTATGATTAACTTTTTCTGTTCTCTAGCTCTTTAATTTACATTTCCAGTTTTATTAATTTCATTATTCTGCTTATTTCCATTATTTGTTGATATAAGCATTTAAAGTATTGGCTTTTCTGTTCAGCTTTACTTTAGCTGTATATCCTACAAGTTCTGATATGTAATGTTTTTAATACCCTTGTTTTCTAAATATTCTGCAGTTTCATTTATATTTCCTCTTTGAGACAAAAGTTAGAGGACTTTTTCCCTCAGTGACAGTAGTTTCTAGTATTATGATTTTGTTATTTATAAGTTTCATCACAATCACAGAATATTATCTACATTGCTTCTACTTTTTAGAATTTGAGATCTTCTTTGTGGTCTAACATATAGCCAATTTCTGTCAGTATTCTGTAGGTTTTTTAAATTAGGTATATTTTACATTTTTATGGTGCAGTTTTTAAATAAGTGAATGAAATCTACCTTGTTATTTAAAACTCCTATATCTTTGCTTAGTGTTTCGCCTACTTGATCTACTGTGAACTCAAAGAGAGTAATTATTGTCTCCACTAGCAATGTGTTTCTATTTTTCCTCTTCCATAATTTCTGCTTCATGAATGTTGACATTATGCTATTGGCTGCATAGCTATTCATAACTCTCTGCCTTCCCTGTGAATTAACTTTATATTGCTCAAGTGTCCTTATGTAATGCTTTGGGGCTGAATTACACTGTCTAATATTTAGATCATAAATGCTGTCTTTGTGTTTGTAATCACCTGGCAAGCATTTAACTATAATAAGTGAGTTAAGCTCATTTTACATTTATGAATTTCATCTCTGTTATGCTATTATGAGGTGTGATAAAAAACTATGGTGAGTGCTGCTGCCATCCAACAGAAAGGCAGGATCTTCAATATGGGAAACTTAGTGACATGTGTGACAAGTTTCAGCTTGTTCAGTCAGGTGTGAGCTATGGTTGAGAGAAGGTGTGTTTTAAAGTGTGCCATAAATCATCCTCCATCATGACAAGGCTCCGTGTCACACATCGCTTCTGGTAGAGCAATTTCTGTCAAATAAAAAAATTACAGTGTGTCCTCATCCACCTTAGTCACCGGATCTGGCACCGGGTGACTTTTGGCTCTTCCCCAAAGTCAGAATGATTCAGGACATCGAGGCAGCCACGACAGCGCAACTAAAGACACTCACGAAAGAGGACTTCCAGAACTGCTTCAGAAAGTGGCAAGAACATGAGATAAGTGTGTTTGCAGTGAGGGGGAGTATTTTGAGGGGGATTAATGGCAATGTGTCTTTCATAGTAATAAACTTTTTATTTAAACATTCACGATATTTTTCTATCACACCTTGTATATGTTTTCAGCAGTTTTTTTGTCAAAGACCTATTTTGTTTATATGTGCATAGTTTGTTATGCTAATTCAAAGCATAAATAGCATAATTCACCATAGCTGAAATAATCAATAGTATGATTGACTGAGTTTTTACCAAGAGACATTTGTATGTGGTTGTAGTTTAAATCTTTCACAAAAAAAGCAAATTTAGGCATCTAAACTTTTAACATTATTCATTACCTCACACTGAAAGAAGGGTTTAGATTTTACTTCATAATCAATGGTAGGAATATCACAAAGTAATGCCTACAAAACACAGTGTATTATGCTTAAGAACAAAGGCTTTGGAAATAAAATATCCAGATCAGATTCCCAGTTGTGTTACTTACTGTTTGGGTGACTTTAAGCAAGATATTTAACCTAGCTTGGATCTGTTTCTTTATCTGTAAAAGAACAACAATATGCCTAACATACAGGGTGATTACAAGAAGGCAGTACAACAGTTGTCACGCTTCACTGCACACAAGTAATATTTGGGAAAGCTTGTCAAAAATACAGATTCCTGAGCCCTCGATCCAGAAATTCAGATTCAGTAGGAGAAACTGAATTTTTAAAGCAAATACATTATATGATTCTAATGCTAATGGTCATGAAATGATACTTGGAGAAACGCAGGTTCTGGAAACTGACTCTGAATGCTGGCTCTACCACTACTTAGTGACTCCAGTAAGTTAGGTAACTTCTCCAGACCTGTCTTCTCATCAGAAAAAGAAAAAATTAAATTAGTACAATGCCTGCAACAGTCACACTCCATTAATGAAACTATTCAGAATTTTTAAAAAATGTATCAAAAAATAAAAAGTGCATTAAAATGTCTCCTTAACTTAGGTAATATGTGATTTTTAAAAGGGCTTAGCTGTGCTAACCTTTCAGTGATCTTCCCACTTAGGCCATCCACAATCTCCAAAGAATTGTCCCCTTGTGCCCAGTTCAGACTCAAGGATCTATATTCCACATTGGTTTGAAGTAGATATGCACAAGGTACTAAAATAATCTGAGGTCGGTTGACCAAGTAAAACATCGGAAGTTTTGAAGTGAGTGAATCATCAACACGTTGTTTGATAGCAATTTCTAAGCCTCTAGTATCACTGCAGTTCCCATCACCTAGAAAGCAAAACAGAACAAACACAGCATCAATATCAAAGACTATACCAGAAAAAATAATGGAAAAGAGTCTGAAGCCCGTTTTGTTATCCTTCATGTTGTGATCCTCTCTTTCCTACTTTCACTCTTAAGCAGCTACTTCTCTATTCTTTACCAGAACCAGGACAAGGTGACAGCAGTCAGAATGTCCATTCAAAAAAGACTCTTCTATAGAAAATGATGAATCAAAATTCCAGTGAATAAAAGGAAAGGGCCACAACCGACTCAGAAAGAATATGGAACTTTTTATAGGGTCCTGCCAGAGAGAACATGCTCATTTTGTCTTGAGTGCTCAGATCACAGCATGAAATCAGCACATAATGCAGTAGGTAAATATGGCAAGGGAAAGTTGGTGAAAGTCAGTCATTTTTCCACATCTACAGACCACAAATTACAACTGTTCCAGGACCACAATGTTCTAGTTTCCCAACACAAAGTTTTTTATACATTGACCATTTCTGGTTAAAATTGTGGGCCATACCACGTAAAAACTTGGAGTTCTAAAGCAAAAGCATGGAGTTCTGAAGTTAAAATAACTGTTGAAGAAGAGAGCACAAAAAGATGCAATGTTATTAGTATAAAATAATGGGCTGCATCAAATTTAGAACAGAAGTTAGGCAATGGCCCTTCCTATTTAAGTCAGCGATTCTGAAGCAGGCCTCCCTCTCTCTCTGTGTCCACATCGTTGAAACTGTTCAGATAGCTACTGGACTTACATTATTATGACTATTCAGGATCTAGAAAATGACGTATAAAGAACATGAGTTGCTTTTGACACCTTTTTTCTAAGCATTCTGTAAAATCCTCCGCCAAAGGACGTGATAATTTACTAATCTACGTTATTATTTTTGTGTTCTAGTTACTTCCTACTCAGAAGGATTGAGATCATAAACAAATGTATGAAAAAGGTATAAGGGTAGAAAAGAACCAAAATGGATATTTAATATCTTTCTTATTTCAGGGATAACTGAATATAAGCTATTATATTTGAGAAGTTCAAGGAAACATCTTCCCAAAGAAAGGGGAAAAACTAAATATTATGCAAACTGAAGTGTAAGTTCAAGACAGAATACATATATAACTGGCTAATGTAAAATGTTAATTCTTGGCCTCCTGATAAGATGACAAAAGTCATATTATACTAAGTGTGATTACAAGTTACCCTAAAATGAGAAGCTCAACAAAACAGGGGATCTGGTTTTTTACCTTGAAGCATCACATATGCAAAACCTGATTTTATACTGATTAAAAAAAAAATACAGTGTGTTTATGTGTAAAAGAGCCAGGAGGTACTGGAGCCCCACTCACCAACAAGTATGCTGCTGATATAAACTGGCTGTATAAAGTGACTCAGCAATGCTCCCTGTATACCAAGCACTTCCCATTTTGTCAATTTGTCACTTGAGGACATGCTGTTTACTCTATTTACAAGATCTTCAGGACAGTAGACTGTTAGATAAATTTTGCCTTCAACAGCCACATGGAGACTCAGCTCTTCATTGGCTTCAAACGCAGATATGGAACGTGGATTAAGACGCCTAGAGAAAGAGGAGACAGTTCTGCCTTTAAAAAACAAAGCTGACAAAGTAAAATCTATATGCACCAAAGAACTGTTCTCAAACATGCTTAATTTACAATTTCAGTAACAGAGACAGATGCAAACCCAAAGTAAGGTAAGATGAATGCCAAACAGAAAGTCACATTTAAAGCTTCCAACAAAGATAAATTTCATATTATTGCCATTCTTCAGGTCCTTTAAAAGTAAATGAAAACCTAATTGTTGTCCCTACCATAGTTTGTGAGTTATTTTCTCTGTACAAAAAATTTTAAAAACAACAAAATGAGGGATTGAAAAAAAGAAAAGTGATAATTTGTATTCAAGATTCATCTCCAATAAAATACATCAAAACAATAAAATCTAAAATTATTTTTTTTGAAGTTTCTCTCCAGGAACACTCATTGCTCATTTTCAAAGGTGTTTACTGCAAGGATTTTTAATAAAGTATTAACTACAGTATCTCTAGATGATCAGACTCAAAGTGAATTTTACTTTATTCTCTGTGCTTGTCTGTATTGTTTAAATTTCATGCTGAGGCTACCCGTTCATCAAGATAATGAAATTTTGGCCACACATTGACCAGAGAAACAAACTACATTTCTGAATTCCTGTATGAGTATGTGAAGAGTGCATAAATCCATACTTTCCTAAAGTTTATGAAATCTTCAAGCTAGAAAGAAGATTTGCAATAACATAGGAAAGTAAGTGCAAAAGTACATGAGATATCTAAGCAGCAGTTAACAGGTCAGACTGAGTGGGAGGGAGAGAGAAAGAATTTGTAGCCTCCTGCAGTCTATAAATAATGTTGACGGGAGAAGATGGGCAGATATGAATGTACTTGATGAAGGGCTACAGAATGCCTGAGATGGCCATCTTGATACTTTTAAAAACAACTGCCAGGGGCCTGCCGAGTGGCTCAGCTGGTTAAGAGTTAGCTTAAGAGCACGAGCTCTGAGCAACAGGGCCACCAGTTCAATTCCCACATGGGCCAGTGATGCTGCACTCGAGCTGAGCTAACACTGAGCTGCCAAAAGAAGGCAGGATGGCTCAGCTGATGAGAGCACGTGCTCCTAACAACAAGACTGCCTGTTCGATGGTGGGCTACGCCCGCCCGCAACTAAGAATGAACTCAGCACCTTGAGCTTAGAGGCCATGAGCTGCCGACGGGCAGCCAGATGGCGACTGGAACCCTCCACAACTAAGATTGAAGAAAAACAACTTGACTGGTCCTCAGTCCCCAACACTGTTCCCCACCCCCAATTACCCAATTATAAAGTAAATACATACATACATACATACATACATACATACGTACATACAACTTCCATAATACTTACAACTGTGACTTAATCTGGGCTGATCCTTTAGGCAACTGGTTCATATAGAGGTAAATGTGGACATTCTGTTTGAGAGTGAGTAAACTAGAGGCTGGCTCTGTGCAAAATATTGATTTGTCCATCATAGCAGGATTTTTGCTGTAGAAGAGTAGAAGTTGTCTATAAAAGTACCTAAAATAAATAGGTTATAACTTTATCAAGTCATAAAATTTAAAAATGTATCTTAATGAGCATCATATTCCTATGTGCCATGAGCAATGAAGTCCCTGGGACGGCCTCGTCTCACGGAGCCCCGTCTGCCCCGTGATGTGCCTGAAAGCACCCCTCCTTGACCGCGCCACTCTCACTTCACATCTGAGCCCTCAACGCACGTATCCTGAAAATGATGCACTTCCCTGCTCATTCCTCCCTTTTCTTTCTCAGACAGTCTTGCTCCCAGCCTCCTGGTGAAGTGACAGTTGGCTGCCTTACTTCTATTTCCCCTTCCCTGCCAAGACAGACAGACAACAGCAGTTCCTGCCCCTTAACTGCTTTGAAGACAAAAACACAGCAGCACTGAAAGAATATGGTGAAGATCGTTGGTTGTATTAAGAACTACAGCAGATCTCCTGAAAGGCACTACTAATCAAATCAGGGGACAAATACTATTTTGCTTATTTTTAAAAAGCAAGATTTTAATCCTATCATCAGAAATATGTGCGTAATAAAAAATTAAGCACCAGTCTACAACAGTGCCAACACGGGAAGACACAAACCTAAAAGAGGTTATCTTTAAAGAAGTCAAATAATTTAGTAAGTGCTAAGGGGGATGGGGCGACAACGAGCTGCATACTTTCGTGGACTTCCCCCCAAACCTTCTTTTTAAGGTTATCGAACTCTTTCCTTATTATTACAGATAAACATACTTAAGTTTTTAAGATAAAGTAGTATGTCTAAATTTGTCTTAAAATACTCCAGCAAAGAAAACACCACCAACGAAAAGTGAGAATATATAGATTAAAGAAGAATAGAAGGCGGCTCATAATTAGATACACTGATAATTGGATATTGGTACCAGAATGCTGATAACTGAGTGATAAAATTCATTATCCTTTTGTCACTTGTGAGTATGTGAAAATTTCCACAAAATAGTTTTATAAAAGTAAGTCCAATGGGGTAAGAGAGCCAAAAGCTGGTGGGCATTGTAGGAGGTAGCACTTATTTCTCACTTCTCATGTTTCCATGGAAGAGTAACATTCCGGACTGTTCTCTCCCACCTGCTATTCAACCCCCACGTAAGGAGCAAAGTGACAGGTAAGTCTGGAAAAAGAAACTAGGCATGCTCCCCTAGGCCCCCTTCTCCTTCTCTCTGAGATCTGCCAGCATAAATGTCACCTTACACACTCGGTTACATGGGAAACTGCACAGGCCTAGTGAGTGGAGACCCATCGGTTTCTGATTCTGCCTTTGGACAAGTCTGGCTGATTCAGGGGAAAATATCCCCGAGCCTACCTGGTGCAAATCTAAAGCTATGCTTTCCAACTCCTTTACTCAGTTAGAAAGATGGCATTTTTATCTCAAAAAGGTTGTAGGACTCTTAAAACTGGATTCATAAGATCTTGATAATAAATCACTAAAATCCTCAGGCCACACATTGCAGTTCCTACCATAAGATTCCCAAAATGACATAGCAATAACAGACGGCCTGGAAAAGTAAGAGACCGTCATACCCTTGGCTCCAGGATCAAACTGCATTTGTGCATAAAGGCATGTAATTGCAGTTCCTCTGAGCTGACAGCATTAACATTTGGTGGCCATAAACAGATCTGTGGCCTTACCGAAGGAGAGATCTTCTCGCTGTGACCACTGCATGTGTGTCATGCAGCACCCTTCCATCCGGCTTAATGCCCTGGCTGTAATTGTACTCCCCTGTGCCGATGGCTACAACCTCGTGCCGTCCAGCTGGAAGGAAACAGTTCACATTAGCAGCTCATTCTGACCTGCCCCTTCCCTATGTTCAACCATTTTCAAGGTAGTAAAATATACTGACCAAAAAGGTGCAAAATTCTACAATTTCATCAACTAAGAGTTTTAGAGTCATCTAAGAGGCAAAAACTCTTAATTACTTCAGTAATATCTCAATGAAAAAGGCACATATACTTTTGATACTTCATTTAAATTTTTACCACAAGCAGAATCACCAGATATCCTTGGTTTTCAAATATGTATCTAATTCCTTTGCATCTAGGTTTATTTGGCTGCTAAGAGCCTTCACTTGCCATTTTACTTCTGTATGAAATAAACTATATACAATGCCTCTAATTTTTTCTTAATCCAAACTCTCCACAAACCAAATTATATTTTCTTTCTTTGCTCTACTGACACTGCTTTTTTGCCTTTTTTTTTTTTTTTTGGCTGAGCCATCCTGCCACCTGTTGGCAGCTTAGCTTGGGCTGGGAATCAAACCGGTGACCCTATTGCTCAGAGCTCACACTCTTGAGCAAGCTCTTAACCAACGGAGCCACTCGGCCGCCCTGAAACTGCTTTTTTGAAGAAACAAGCACCTTTTTATGCTTTTCCCAATAGTTTTGCTCCATTTATTTATTGCTATATCGTATTTGAGATTTCCTTGAAACTACATTGAGGTAAACAATTCTTTTCTCCTTTCACATCCTAACTATGGGGTCTCTACAGCCTAATCACTAGCTCATTGCTCTTTTTCCTCTAAATATTCTCCTCTTAATATCATGCTCATTCTATTTTTTATTTCAGTGTTGGTGATTTCAGAAAATTTTTAGTCTTAGTCTTTCCAAGTTCAGCTCCACATGTGCAACTACCTAAAGGACTTTTACTAACTCAACAAAAAAATGTTAAGGTCCTACCAAGTACCAGGCACTGAAGCAGACACTAGGAGTAAGATGTTAAGCAAACATGCCCCCATGAAGCTTCTCATAGGAGAGACAGAAAAAAGACTAAACAAAAAGCCTTGAAGGAAAAAGCGATGGGGCTAATGTAAAGAAGAATGGGAGGAAGGTCACTCCATGCAGACTAGTTGCAGAATCCATATGAAGCTGCAATTAAGTTTCAGGATGAAGAGTAAGAGGCACAAGGAGTGAGATAAAGGGTATTTCAGTCAGAAGAACTAGCTTTGTGCAGACCCTGTGCTAAGCAAGATCAGTGTAGCTGGTTCAGTAAGGGGCAGGGATGGGTTTGGGGGGGGGGGAGGAAATGGCTTACGATAAGGTTAGAGCAGCGGTTCTCAACCTGTGGGTCGCAACCCCTTTGGGGGTCAAACGACCCTTTCACAGGGGTCACCTAAGACCATCGGAAAACAAAAAGATATTTACATNTGAGACTTAGAAATCCACTGTGGAGTTCACATTCACTGCACATCCCAGTTCGGACCAGCCGTGTTTCAAGTGTTCAGCAGCCGCATGTGACCATGGCTGTAGCGACGGGCAGCACAGCCCTGGAGGATTTAGAGCAGCGGTTCTCAACCTGTGGGGCGCGACCCCTTTGGGGGTCAAACGACCCTTTCACAGGGGTCACCTAAGACCATCGGAAAACAAAAAGATATTTACATTACGATTCATAACAGCAGCAAAATTGCAGTTATCGAGTAGCAACGAAAATGATTTTATGGTTGGGGGTCACCACAACATGAGGAACTGTATTAAGGAGTCGCGGCATCAGGAAGGTTGAGAACTGCTGGGTTAGAGAAAGAGGCATCAGACACCATGCTGAGGAGCTGTGGCTTTTACCCAGAGCTATGGCAACGCTACTAAAGGTAGGGAGCAGAAAGCATATTGGGTTCCACTTTAGGGTCACTCCTGTGTGTGGAGAATGTGGTATGTAGGGTCCAAGGAGCTGAGTTAGGGGCCTGTTACAGTAGTCCAAGTAAGAGGTCATGAGTTAAGTCTCAAATGATGAAGGTTAAATGGAAAAGATAAGCGTTTGGGGATATAACCAAAAGGACTTACAAATTGAGGGGTGTTAGGGAAAGGGATAAATCATGGCTGATTTAAGATTTTTGGTCTGTCTGAGCCACTGGGTGAATGCCATTTACTGAGCTGGGGAAATAAAGTTCCAGCTCTCGAGTGCAGCTGCTTCATAAGGGATGGGAGTTGGGGTGGTAAAAGGGAATTCTATAGTGTCAGTGTAAGTTCCGACTTACAAGGGGCAATGGTATAACTAAGAATTCAGCTTCTTTCTCAACTTTGTAACTCGACCTACCAAGTCGCATGAAGATACCAAAGTTGGATAATGCAGGAAAAAGGGGATAAGCGAAAGAAGGAACTCGCTGAGCTGTGTGTGAGAGGGAATGGAGTCGGATGCAGGCGAAGGAGCTACTCTGGAGAAGGAGATCCTTCCACTTTTATAGCAGAGAAGATGGACACAAGCGCAGGAAAGTACATAGATTTGGTGGCAGAGGACAGAGGGAAGCTTGGATTTGATAAGCTTCTTACACACTCAACTGAAAATTCTGAGGGAAGGCCATTAGTTGACAGCAAGGATGAGCGAGTTGTGAAGTGTCTGAGAACAAAGGAAAAGTACGAAATGGCCGCCGCAGGGAATGTGACCAGCCCTCCGTGAGACAGACTGGCTGGGTAGTGCGGAATACCCGTCTGAGGTGTCCAATAATGCATCTGAAGTGTGTATCGATTGTGTGAGGTACTCCAGGAACATGCACTTGATCTCCTCAGGCTTTCCCCGCCGCATTCACAATCATGCTTCTAAAACCATTTCTTATTCTCACCCATGCTGTTCTCCACACAACTGCACACCAGCTTCCAGATTCCGTGTGTATGGAAGCACCATTCTCCTTTGTAACTGTGAAATCATGTTTTTTTCTAAACATACTTTCTCTCTTCCTGCTCATGGCTATCTCAGCTCTAATGGACGTACTCCATCACAGCCATCTTAGCTGTGAGTTCCTAATTCAGATTCCATACCTGTAATATTTCTGAAATTGTTTGTTGTCCATTATTGCTTAAACATTAATTATCCTAATCATCACAAACAAAAATTAAGCTCTTACTAAACACCAAGTACTGTGCTAAATAGTTTACATAATCACACAGAATCCTAACAACTCCATGAAGTAGAGGTTATTATTGCCATTTTTCAGAAATGAGACGAAAACTGAAGCAGGGAGATAAGTATTTAACTTGCACAAAGTCATTTAAGGAGCAGAGCTGAGCCTGACGCTAAGGTTCCCAATAAGGATGGTACATTATCGACCCCTGTTCAAAAATGGCTCACTGCTTAGTATCAACCTCACTAAACCCAACATTTGACTGGCTTTTAAGCCACTCCATAAGGTGGTGGTGTTTTATCAACCTAGCTACATTTTGTATTCCTTCTGATTATATACTCGTCTACACTACAGAGTTCTCTCTCACTATCCCATACACGGTTTTCTCACTGCTGCTCTGTTCCCACAGGTCTTTCTCCAAGACTGTCTTCCTTTCTTCTATTTACCCAAACCTCACTAATCCTTAAAGTTCCAGCTTAAGTCTCATCTGTTACCAAGGATTTTAACCCTATAGGTTCTCTCTAATCTATGAATTCTCATGCATTTTTGGATTACAGAAAACAGATTTTAACTTTTATCTTAGACTTTCAAGAGTAACTTCTCTTCCCACCTAGATCACAGAAACTCCTTAACAATAGATACCAAATCTCAAACTGTTTTCATATCATCTTTAATATCTTATTCAGAGATTAATATAAAATTCAAGTACAGTCATACCTTGGTTTGCGAGCGTAATTCATTCTGGAAATAAACTACTCGCATTGCAAGACATTGCTCGCTTAACACGTTAAAATGTATTAGAAATGTTTGTTGGTCTTGCGGAACACTCGCAAACCAAGTTACTTACAATCCAAGGTTTTACTGTACTTTTAATTAGTGGTCAATCCAGATCATTAAAGGGTAAACAGAAGATAAAATGTAGTTGGAATCACATCATAATATCCAGAAGAAAAACCAGAGGTTCATGATTTTTCCTATTTTACTCTTTTCTTACTCAAAAATGAAAATACTGGGGTTGTCAGAAAAGTAATGATGCATGTTTGCAATAGATGGCACTAGTTCATTTTTGGAAGTACTAGAGTCATTTGCATCTATGTTATTCCTATGTCATTTGACAGCTGACAGTTCTAGCTTCATTCTAAAAAAAATTGAGAGATTTGGTTGAGTTTTGATTTTACAACAAGTTGAAGATGGAAGACGAAACTGCATTTTAGCCATATTTTACTGTTTTACTTCCTTAAAGGGAAGAACGTGTGTCAAGCTTGTGAAAAATTGTGTCAAGTTTATGGTGACAATGCTCTACAAGTACATCAGTGCCAATGATGGTTCACGAAATTCCATGCTGGTGATTTTGATCTCAATGACACTCCTCAGTCTCAAGGAGGCCCACCGAGGTTGATGACGACAAAATAAAGGCATTGATGGAGTCAAACCCACGTTACACGACATGAGAGATTGCAGAAACATTGAACATCCATCATTCAAGCATTCACGACCACCTGAAGAAGCTGGGATACGTAAGCAAGATCGATATTTGGGTTCCGCATGAACTCAATGAAGTTCATCTGACGGCGCGTATAAACATCTGCAATATGCTCATTAAACGTGAGGAAATGATCTTTTTTTGAAGCGACTAATAACTGGTGATGAGAAGTGGATTGTTTACAACAATGTGGTGTGCAAACGGTCTTGGTCCCAATGTGATGATTCACCTCAAACCACATCGAAAGCAGACATTCATCAGAGGAAGGTTATGCTCTCAGTGTGGTGGGATTTTAAAAGTGTCATGTTTTTCGAGCTCCTACCAAGGAACCAAACAATCAATTCGATTGTATACTGTCGGCAACTGGACAGTTTGAACGAATCCATCATCCAGAAACGTCCAGAGCTGGTTAATCGTAAAGGAGTTGTGTTCCATTGCAACAACGCGAGACCACACACAAGTTTGATCACCCATCAAAAATGATTGGAGTTTGGATGGGATGTGTTGCCACACCCACCATACTCGCCTGACCTTGCGCCGTCAGACTTCCACTTGTTTTGCTCTCTTTAAAACTCCTTGTGTGGTATAACGTTCAATTCAGATGAGGCTATAAATCAGCATCTTGTTCAGTTTTTCAAAAATTAAGACAGGTCCTTCTATGAACGAGGAATTATGAAGCTCATCGAAAAAATGGCAAAAAGTTATCGAACAAAAACGGGCAATATATCATTAATTGATCTTTTCTCTTTATATAAATAAATGACCTTCGAAAAACATAAGACAAAATACGTCATGACTTTTCCAACAACCCAATAATATGTTAATTTTTATAGAGCACTTCTCAACGTTTGTTATAATGGGGATTAGATTTCAGGTTGGTAGTGGTTCCAACAGAGTTGTTATTTAAAATATTAGGCATTTTACCATTCTGTAGTTCTCTTTTGGTTCCTGGTCAGTATTCTTTATCGCTACCTTTGAGAACCTTTGTGTTTAATGACCCGCACCTACTAGAAAAGGCCACTTCAATAAAACAACATTATCAACAGGGGCAAAGATAGTTAATTAAAATACTACTATAGTATAGTTCAGATCATTAAGATATTTAACAGTTTTTCTACAAACTAACACATCCCAAATATTTGGACTTACCTCTTTCGATTATGAAAGCAGCCAGTGAATTGCTACATTTCAGATATTCTGAATGACTACAAATTAGTTGATTAAATGTTTCTTTAACAATCTGCGAAATCTTTGTATACTGCATGTGTCTCCCCCCTTCTAGAAAAAAACAAATGCAATAGGAATCTGAATATTATATTTTCTTCCAGAGGCCTGTATTATTTCTATTATAATCTCACAATTAAATGAGTTTATAATTTATGTCATGATTGGGATTTTAAATTATTCAATTCTAAAAGAATACGTTATTGAGCTTTTAAGATAACTTCTTATAAAAAAATGTAAAAAAATATTACGTATTAGAAAATGACTGATTTAAATTTGATGAATTATCCAGAAGTCACAAAGAACACAAAACAATTCTATGTTGTACAGCAATGTCCCACACTGCCAGACCACTGACATCTCACTGAATGCAGGAGTATTCCCAATCACTGTGACAATCAACAAAACCCACTCGTCCTTAGACACTTGACACAGTTCCCAGTCCCCACTAAAAATGTTCCAAACTTCAGAAGGGGTAAAGATAGTTTTAAGTAACTAGGGTGACTACAGAACAGTTTATAATGAAGGATATGAGTCCAAAGTCACCCCCTGATTTTTATACAAGTCTGGGGCAGGCCCTGGCCACCAGCTGCCCTGCACACACGTGCTGTGGATCCCTGGTGGAGCCCCGTTCAGAGACTGAGCGGCTGCAACATCACCTAACAGCGCACTCTGGATGCTGACCTGTGAACCACGGCTAGCTCCTGAGGTTTCAAGTGGGTCACAGGTCACTCAACTTTGTCAGAGCAGAAAAGCGATGAAACCATTTTGCTCTCACACAGCGCCTGTATATGAAATGTTTAATTCATCATAATTTTCACAGAAATTCTTTTTACCTGCTTCTTAACCATCACATTAAGAAGGAGCACAAACAACAGAAGTTTGATGTCAGCAGTCTCAGCTAATATTCTGCTTACTGAATACAACTCAGTTCAGATAGGCCATTTACATGTTTTGTTTATACTTGTTAAACTTGCATTTTTCTTTGCTCATACTGTCAATGCTGTCTTCTTGGCAAAACCAGGTAAAGTCGCATTATCAAAAAGAGTGAAAGGACAGTCCCAAAGCCAATGACAACATGAAGCTCTGGAGGAAACACAATGACCCACTGGCTACGTTCTCTTATGTAATCATAAGGCATAAAACATGGAGGTGCAGATTATTATTACAACTGCATGTCAGCATATATTTCACTCAAACCGGTCAAACCATCAGTATGTGGTATGTAAATTAGTTTTGGTCCTTTTGTAGTAAAAATATGAATGAGAAGTACCCAGCAATTTGGCTCTTCTTATCACCGCAAACTCATGATACAAGAAAAGCAGTATTCAATTTAGTAGTATCTTAAATTTTAATTTTATTTTTACTGAAACAGCAGTACAGGAGATATACATTCAGAAGTCTCTCCCTCCAAATGCAACCACTATTACCAGTTTCTTATGAATATTTTTAAAAACAATCTATAAATATAAGTATACATCAATTTAAAAATAAAAACGGGGATGTGCTAAAACCCACTTTTTGCATTTTCTTGGTCTTGGACATCATTCAAGGGTAGATATTAGTGCTACTTCAATCATCTTAATGGTTCTCTAGAATGAATGTACTCTACTATAATTTAATCATGTCCTATATAGTTAGTAATTATTTTGTGTTCTGAGATAGAATAGAAAAATACACTGCAATTAGTACTGACAGAACAAGAATTATGTTTGGCAAGAGCATGTTTCACTGTACATTAAAAAGATTTGACATCAAAGAACATTTGTTATTTAATGACATATCAATATATCTCTTGATCTTAACTGAGTGTTGAAGGAACAAATCAATATAGTGAAAATAATGAAATCTTAGTTACTAAATGTATTTGTTATTAGTGTGTGTGGAAGAAAAGGAGCAAGTGAAATACTGTTGTCCCCATGAATGTGTGTGGGCTATTGATAAATAAAATGCTCTCACAAATTATTGGAAATGAAGGATGAGATAAAAACATGACACACATAAAGCCAATTAACTCAATTCTTTGATTTTGAGTTGCTAATTTCAAGTGATCTTTTAGTATTATGAGTAACTTGAACCTATCTTCAGAGCCAAAGTATCCCTGTTTTTAGTGAAGATATGGTCCAGTTAGAAATACTGTAAAGCAGACAGGCTGGAAAACAGTGACCCCCTCTATACCTGGCCTGACAGAAGCTGTACAGGACATTTTTGTGGGTGCAAATCTCTTTTCTTCAAAAGCAATAACATCCAAAGCCTGTGTTTACACATAAGCTTGAAGGTCGATGTTTGTTCTTCCTTTTCTGACTGATACCTGACTCTTGACCTAACCCCAGCGAACTGACTCGCCTCTGCATCGCCTGAAGCGTACTGTCAACCACATCTTCTTTCTTCCTCACAGACCTCTTTTCTCAGGGTAACGGTATCTGTACTATTTGCCAACCACTGAGCTGGGATTCTCTCCCACTATTCAATGAAAACGTCCACAGAGGCTAAAAAGAAAGACTGAAGCTCCTCCCCATATTAAGAGGTCACAGCTGCTAGACTGACCCCTTTCTGCCCTTCTGTTCGTCAATCCTTACGACTGTGAGGTCAAGCACATAATTAATTATTGGTAGATTTCGCCTTTTGAATGTGCCTATTTTCTCTGATCTGGTCCTTTTACTCCATGCAAGCACACGACTGTGCAAATCATCTGTCTTAGACAAACAATAGAAAACCAAGCTTGAATAGGCACAAAATTTCTCAAGTCCTAATCTCCAGACCTAGGAAAGAGACTTTTTCTTTTTCATTTTAATTCTACAACATTAAAGCTTTAAGTATTACTACTATTTAGACAACGTAGAAATTAAGAATAATTTCCTGCCTTTCAGGGGATTCATAATGTAAGGGGAAAAGTATACAATAACTACCATATAATGTTGAATATGATAGACGTGCTATCATAAAATAATAGCAGTTACTACCTAGAGTAAGCACCTACTGTGTGCCAGGCACTGATCTAAGTGTTTTACAAGTACATGGATGAATTTATTTAATCCTCATAGTAACCCCATGAGGTAATTATTGTTATGGCCATTTTACAAAAGAAGAAATTGGGTGCATAGAGAAGTAACTGGTCCTAGGTCACAAAACTAATCATGTCAACTGCAACTGTAGTTTTCTTGGGCTTGAGTGACAAATGACTACCATTAAAAAAAAAGTGAACAGATTATTTGACATGAATGTCCCATCCATCGAGCACCAGAAAGCCACTGCTTTTCATTAATGACAAGTCCACCAAGGTAAAGAATTCTCAAAAAGGCAGTTACCTAAAATTGAGAAAAAATCAATTTCTTCAATTCTTCTCCATTCCTCTAATTTTTATCAGAGTATGGAAGGAAATTCCTCTCTTTGTAGGTGTGTGACAGTTTTGAATGATAAAATATTAATGTATGTTTTCATACCTATACATATTTTAATCATACATTGTTATAATTTTAATTGGGTTTTCTTTAAAAAAAGAATAGTGTAAAGGACTTTCCTACCATAATGTACTTTGGAAACATATGCTGGTTCAGATGAAGCAACAGGCTCTGCAGGGATAGGAGGAGGACCTGTAAATAAAACAAAAATAAAAGGAAGCATAAACTTCATTGTTGCAAAGAGCAGGTACCTTCCTATTACGTAATAAAACAGCAATCCAAGAATGATTATTTTCTGTATACTTCTGCCAACTCCAGACCATCAAACATCCATTAGCTAAGCTTTGATTAATGTCTTTTCTATATTTAAATCAATATACAAGCCCATTTACAGGCTTCCTAATCTTATGCTACTATAGAGCTTGCTCTGTAATAGATGCAGCATCCTGAAAAGCGGTTACAATGCAACCCTGTTTTAGATGCTTATGAACAATTTTCTATTTACAGCAATACTATGTAAAACATTTAAAATTAATATTCTATCAAAATTTAGCAAGTAAAAATGATCATTTTTAACGCTATTTTATTAGAGTGTTTTCTAGGGGAATACTACATTCGAAGTTTTCAAAGCTTTTCATCGCGTTCTTTGCAATGGCTTTGCAATTTGGTTCCAAAGTTAGGGAATCCAGGAAAAACAAGAAAAGAACAAGATACTAAACCAACGGAACAAAAAAGATCAGGAAACTTAAATAAAGAGTCTACAGGAGCAAAGCTTCAACTAAAGTAGACAGCATCTCTCAAGAGTCATTCACAAAGACAAAGGAAACAAACAGAACTGCTTCGGTGGACTTCATTTTGAGTAAGATGAGAAACTGGTTGAATACACAGAAATTAGTAAGGAAAGACTGACAGTGTCATGCTGGGTCTCTCATTAGTTAAGTAAATGCTGACTATTGTTAGATATACACATTGTGGATTTTAGAGAAGCAGAACTTTAAAAACTCAAGAGAAAGATGGATTTTTTTTCGCATTTACTCACATGAGTAGGGCTCATTTGGAATGAAAACTAAAGATATTAAATCCTGTTTTTCAAGCGAGCACAAATAATTTAAATAAAGAAAGAAAATGTGACTGTATGAGTTGGTCTGCATTTTAAAACACCATATACAAATAGGCGAAATAATCTTGAAAAAGAAAAACCAAGTTGGAAGACTCACAGTTCCGAAGTTCAAAACTTAATACAAAGCAATAGTAATCAAAACAGTGGGGTAATAGACTGCAGACAGGCACACAGGCCTACGGAACAGAGAGCCTAGAGACAGAGCCTCACATATGCTCAAACGATTCTCTATACGAATGCCAAGACCATTCAATGGGGGAATGGGCAGTCTTTTTGAAAAATGCTACAAAACCTGGTTATCCACATGCAAAAGAATGAAGTTGGGCCCTTACCTAACACTATATATAAAAATCAACTTGACCCAAACACAAGAGCTAAAACTACAAAACTCTTAGAAGAAAACACAGGTGAAGTGACTCTGGGTGGTGAACACACAATGGAATGTACAGATGACGTATTATAGAAATGTACACTTGAAACCTATATAATTTTACTAACCAATGTCTCCCCAATAAATTCAATAAAAAAAAATTTTTTAAAGCACAGGTGAGTGCCCTGATGCTCTCAGAAGCTCCAGAGCAGACGGGAGCCCTTGATGAAATCCTGTGCACCTGCCAGGGGTCACGGTAAAAGCAGTTCGACCCACCACAGCCTTAGGGAGGCAGGTGGAAGAGGGGGATTCACCAGGAAACCAAAGCAAAAACAAAATAATTAACCTGAATGTCCACGCATCCAAAATCCCTGGAAGGAGTACCCTTACACAATTACTAGTGTTCATATTTGCCTGGTAAAAATGAAATGTTTTTCTTTTCCAAAGTTGCCTCGTTTACAGGTAACCCAAAATGTAACCTAACGTGAAATGAATAGTGACAAAAACTTATTATGCTAGCATATGTAACATGTTAACATATTCCTCAGTCTAATTAATATTTAATAAGAACTACTATTATTTGATAATGTATTTTTCACAAGATACTGCTTAAATGCTTTCCATGCATTACTTATTTAATTCTAATGACAGCCATTGGAGGTACTTACTATCCTTGCCCCTGCTTTTCAAATTCTGAAACTTAGACTTAGAGGGCAAATAACTCGTCTGTCCAGGGTCAGTATTCCAAGCTGAGCAATCAAATCCTAGAGTTTACACTCTTAGTATACTTGTGTTTGCTATGCTACCTTAGGCTGTTATTTTCTCAAGTAACTCTAGCATTCCTGAATTTAACATAGGCAACCGTAAAATTGCATTAAAAATATCTAAGTAATAAATACACAGTGTTAAGTGCATAATTAAGAATCCAGTAAATACAGAGAAAACCAAGTTTCAGGACTGGAACCCACTGACAATCTGAAAAGTTACCAGACAGTTCAGCAACATGTTTATCTCTTTTGGGGGCTGAAATATACACGAGCAATTTTAAATACTATTAAGTACATCAGCAATCAGACAGCAGTGGAAGGGAATTATTCAAATCCTGCTAATTCTAACTTGTAGTTGCCATGGAACTCTTCATTAACATAAATTTTCAGGCAATTCCTTCTAAAAAATGCTACATTTTACAAATACTTCATAATCAAGAGTACTTACCTGATGTTTCTAAATGTCTTGGTTCAGGTTCATCCAATTGTAGGAGCTCATCAAGAGCTAATTTTGCTGCATTGGATCTAGACTCCTTTTTATTTTGTCCCAGTCCCGTCTTATACTGAATACCATCCACCACAGCACAAAATGCAAAATACGGTCCCATAACGTTACCTTGAAAAAGAATTCAGAGTGAGAGCTACAGGACTTCACAGTATAACCCTGCCAGAGCTGTGTGTTATATGGGAAACCATTCCAAGACAAAAGCTGGGGAAAACCAGCTCTCTCGGCCTCTCAGGGTTTTTGCAGGGCCGATACAGGTTACAAGTAAAGCTGGGTGGGTCCGGAGCTAGTTCTGAGGAGCCCTTCAAGCAGCCAGGCGGGCACCAGGTTCAGCGTGAGCAGCAGGACCACCTTTACAGCACAGGCCATCCATGGAGTGATGGTGTCGTGTTTAACGCCTAACAATGACAAGCCTCCAAATAGCTATCCAATGACTGAGAGGCAAAATGTGGAGCCTCTGGCAATATCTTTCCTTTCAAACTGCAATACCAATTAAGTTTATTTTCTGTCCCCTCTGAGTGCGTTGATGCTCTCAGAAGCTCCAGAGCAGAAGGGAGCCCTCGATGAAATCCTGTGCACTTGCCAGGGGTCACGGTAAAAGCAGTTCGACCCACCACAGCCTTAGGGAGGCAGGTGGAAGAGGGGGATTCACCAGGAAACCAAAGCAAAA